TCTGGACCCTTCCAGGCCCTCAGTGTCCCCACATATAAAACAAAAGGGCCAGGCACAATAATATTCCCAGTCTCTCTCTTTTTTAAAATATTTTTTATTGATTTTGAGTGAGTAAGGGAGAGCGCTGGATAGAAACATTGATGGGAGAGGAAGTCACCGATTGGCTGCCTCCTGCATGGCTCCCACTGGGGATAGAGCCCACAACCCAGGCATGTGCCCTGACCAGGAACCATGTGCTCTGACGGGGAATCATGTGCCCTGACCAGGAATCAAACCGGCGACCTCTTGGTTCCTGGGTCAATGCTCAACCGCTGAGCCGTACCAGGCAGGCCCCAGTCTCTTTTAATCCCAAGCCTCTGTGACATACTTGCTTGGGCTCTCACCAAGTTTTTTAATTTTTGGAATTGGTGGCATTGAAATATTGGGTGGTTTCTCCTGGAAATCTGGATTCCCAGCAACATACAGCGCTCATTCCTGTAGAGCAACCATTGGAAGGAGCTGTAGATGCTGCCCCCAAAGAGGGGCAGAGCCTCTCCGTTTGGCCACACAGTCTCTGCGGGGCAGACAAGCCCGCCTCACTCTCCAGGCCTGTGTGCGTGAGTTTGCAACCCTGCCCAAAGGTTTGCTGCTCCAGCTCTGGGCTTTCCCTCTGTCCGGGGCAGTCGCGCTGTCTTTTCAAGGCGTGTTAACGTGGACCTGTTTCTCTACACCCTAAATGGGTAAACACCACAGGCTCTTAGGTCAACCAAGTTGGGTCCAAAGCCCAGCTCTCAGTCCTCAGGCCCTGGCAAGTCATTTCGCCTCTGAGCCCTATCTGTGAGATGGGTGATAAGAGACTATGCCTCGTGTGGGGCTGTCCTGTGGATGAAGACAAGACAAAGAAAGTTCTGAGCACTGTGCCCAGCAACGATGAACATCATCTGTACACACTCTCAGTGTGCAACTGTGCACAGCCCTCGCTCAGGATGGGACCACAGTGGCAATGCAGTCGATGCTGCTAAAGGAAGGAAGCAGTGACGAAGGCAACCGGGCCTGGGGAACGGGAACGGACGGACGCAGCTGCAGAGTACAGGCGGCAGCCGGCCAGACCAATGTGTGGAGGGAGGCAGGTCTTCATCTCCAAGTAAGGGAAGGATGTGGAGTGAGAGCTGGCAAAAGCCAGCCACCAGGGTCTTCAGATGTTACCTTGGCGCCACCCTCTGGATGATGCGTGCCTCACACCTACCCGCCACTCAGCCAGGAGAGGACCTTATAGTGGGTTTATTCTCTGCACTTATTTGTAGAATTGGCAAGACCCTTAGAACACCTAGCGCCTCAGGCCTTCATTACACATCTGGAGTGGGGGGTGGGCAACCCAGAACCAAGGAGTAGCTTTCCCAAGGTCACAGAACGTGGGCCGGGTTCCACTTAAAACACAGAACTTGTTACAGCGGCCGGGAAGATCAACCCTGTCCCGGCCTAGCCTGGTGCTCAGTGGTTAGTGTCAGCCCGCGGACTGAAGGGTCCCGGATTCGGTTCTGGTCAAGGGCAGAGACCTCCATTAAAGGCTTCATCCCCCGCCCCAGTCTGGGCATGTTCTGGAGGCAACCCATCAATGTGTCTCTCACATCAATGTTTCTGTCTCTCCCCCTCCCTTCCATTCTCTCTAAAAATCAATTTTAAAAAAAATATCCTCGGGTGAGGATTAACAAAAAGAAAGATCAACCCTGTCCTTTCATCAGGGACCCCAAGATATACAGCAGACCCCCTTATCCACAGGGGATACACTCCAAGACCCTCAGTGGATACCTGAAACCACAGGTAGTACCAAGCCCTGTATGTTCTACGTACTATCTTTTCTTATATATACACATCTATATACCTATGATAAAATTTAATTTATAAATTAGGCACAGTAAGAGATCAACAACAATAATAATAAAGTAGACCAATTTTAACAATCTACTGGAATAAAAGTTATGTGAATGTGGTCTCCCTCCCTCTCTCTGATAATGGATCTGATAACGGAGACAGCTACTGACTAACGGTGGGAGTGCACACAGCGTGGCTGTGCCGGACGGAGGGATGATTCATGCCCCAGGAGGGATAACGCAGACAGCGCAAGATTGCATCACAGCGCTCAGAACAGCACGCAGTTTAAAACTTATGGATTGTTCATTTCTGGAATTTCCATTTAAAACGTTTGGACCGCAGATGCCACAGGTAACTGAAGCCACGGACAAGGAGGACTACTATACAAAAGCAGGCTTTCTTAGGCGTGAGCTCTGCTGGCTCTGAGAGGACTTCTCCCAGAAGCAGGATCTGGGACGAGGAGGGAGTGCAGGTAGTGTATTCGGAAGCTGAACCGGACAACACCAGAGGGGTTGGGGAAGTGAGACCGGGAAAGGAAGGAAACAAGTGCAGAGGGGCAGCTGGGGCTCCGTCCCTCTAGAGCAGCGGTTCTCAACCTGTGGGTCGCGACCCCTTTGGGGGTCGAACGACCCTCTCACAGGGGTCGCCTAAGACCATCGGAAAACACATATATAATTACATATTGTTTTTGTGATTAATCACTATGCTTTAAATATGTTCAATTTGTAACAATGAAATTGGGGGTCACCACAACATGAGGAACTGTATTAGAGGGTCGTGGCGTTAGGAAGGTTGAGAACCACTGCTCTAGGGAACCCACGGGACACTGCAGACCGCTTCAGTCTGTCCCGCCCAAGGGCAAGGAGGCTGGGTTCACCCTCCAGCTCTCAGGCCTCGTTGGTTGACAGTGTTCCCTGTTATTAACTCCCCAGGTATGTCTGACCTGCCCTACACCTCCCCCAACCATGTTTTCAAGACCAGGGAAAGCCCCGAGGCAGGTGATCCCACGTGCTTGCAATAGAAACCCAACTGCTTATCTGATGCCAAAAGCAAGTTCTCAAAGTGCGGCCCCGGGACTGCAGCAGCATCGCTTGGGAAACTGGTTAGAAATGCAGATCCTTGAGCTCTATCCCCGACCCATTCAATCAGAAGCCTGGCAGCGGGGCCCAGCAGCCTGTCCTTTCTGGTGATGCTGACACGTGCTCAAGACTGAGAACTCTGACCCAGAGGCACCGGCGGTACTGTCGCCGTTTGCCTGATGGGAAACCTGAGATGCTAAAAGATGGACAGTAACCCACAGGTGAGAGGTGGCAGAGGTGCTGGGTCCTTTGTCTCTATCCACCATGCGGCCACGCACAAAAGGAACTCTAGGTAGGAGATTAGGGTGAGGTTCCCGCCCCATCACACCACCACTTTGCTCCACTTTCTAAACCAAACCTCTCCACCTCGTGCCTCCAAATGGTTCTTGGAGCCCTTCTGGGAAGCCTGCCAAGCCAGGTGCCTCTCTGGATTCCAAGCTGCCCCCACAGCCTTCATCGGGGACAACCCCTCTCCGCCCCCGCCCTCCAGGCCATAGGACACATTGGGGAAATCAGAACAGTTTCTTAGGGGGTTGGGGGGCAATCCCTGGGTTAAACCAGCCTGGCCTCATCCACACCATGAATCTTAATCTTTGTGCCAGGGCGTTGCATGGCTCTTCCTTCTCTTCCTTGCCCTACACCCTTCCTTCCCTCCCTCTGCTCCCCTCCCCTCTGCTCCGGCTCCATCTGCCGCTCCTCCTGGCCAGGCTCCCCCTCGGTTGGCACAGCGAGAAAAGAGAACAGGATGGTTATTTTTATCCTAAGATACTGCTGGGGGAAGGGGTGCCATCTGACTGAGAAGCACAGCTCCTGTAGCAGTTGGGAGGTCAGAGGGAGGTGGGAGGCCCAAGATCGCCCTGGGAAGGAGCCACAGATTCGGGTTCCAGAGATCAGGCAGGTCTGGGAGCAGTGCAGGACCAGGAGTGGGGAGCTCTGAGCAGCACCACTACAAACTGCTGTGCAACCATCAGCAAGTCACTTGGTGTCTCTGGGCCTCTGTTTCCACCTGGTAAAGAGGGAGGGGTGCGGGCCCTGCCTGTCCCCCAGGCTGTTTTGTGAACATGAATGAAATGGAGAGAATCCTTTGCAAACTGGTGCCAAATGTGAGCACACATGGAGGGCTGGCAGCCTGGGGACATTCTTATTCAGCCTCCCAAAGTGCCCTGGTTCTGGGAGCCCGACAGCAAATGTAGCCACTCCTGTCACCCAGCATGCCCACCCCCATTTTTTTCACATGTTTGATACTTTAATTACATAAGCAGTATGTGAATTCACTCTCCTTTGCTGGGGGGGGGAGGGGATGAAGCCTTATGAAAAAGTCAAATCTTCTTTACCAACCCTCCCCCAGAGCCTTCTTCCCCAACCCGGGCATGACGACTGTGAACTGCAAGTTTCCTGTGTATCCTTCCAGACCCCGTGTTACACCTACATACACAGCATATGTTATGTCTGTACAAGTGCCCACAGGTGATAGATCATATTGATTAGGGGTGTGTGCGCTTTAAAAAAAAAAATCCATGCCTGTCATTCTGCAACCTGCTTTTTTCCCATGACAGTGTTTGAGATCCTGTTACATAAATATATTACCATTTTATTTAGCCAGTCCCCTGTTGATGGACAGTTAAGTTGCTTCCAGTTGTCCCCTGTCACAAATGACACTGCAATGATATTCATGTAGATGTCCCCCTGGGCTCATAGAAACCGCGTGGGCACTGAAGGGCTGGGCTGGAGGGTTTGATGATGTTACTATATGCCCCCGCCCCCCAACCCCCCCGCAAAAGTCTTGCCTCCATCTTTAAAAGCAAGTTGGGAGGCCGAACGGCTCCAGGCTGGAGAAGGTTCCCCTGAGGGAACTGTTTCTGAGCCGCAGGGGTGCAGGCAGAGGGGGGCTGTGCCTAGCGCCAGCCCCTCGCCCTCATGTCGCAGCTGCAGCTCCAGGCTCCGCGGCCACGTGCACATTTGTCCATACTGCCATGCTCCCGGGCACACACACAGCCTCACTGTCTCTCCTGCACCGAGATGCGGCTCTCTTTGCCATCCTCCTGCACCACGGGCTGGTACCAGTGTAAGGTCTCCTGCACGGGAGCGGTGGAGTCCTCCACCTCCGTCGGACCTCGCCGTGCTTCCTCTTTGGCCTTCCCGGGGTCCTCAGGGCGGAAGGTCTGGTGAGCCAAGGGGTGAGGTTATGCTCAGCAACACCTCTGAGGAGCCCTCCCGCCAAGAGGACGCTCCCCAAGCCCTCTCCCCTGCTTCCCCAATCAGGGCGGATTCCATGGGTGTCTCCTGCCCCCTGCTGGCCACACTGAGGGTGTCAAGAAGCTTCCAGTGGGTTTAAGGAGGTGCCCCTCCGCAAGGCCCCAAAGTGGTTCCCCACGTGTTGGATGCCAGGAAAGAACAGCAAATGACGCCACTGACTTTGACCATGGTGCCAGGGCAGCTCTGTGGAGAAGTGCGCTCTGGGGATAACGAAGGCTGGCGCTGAGGGAGGGGATGGGAGGAGCTCTGGATCCCGGGAATGGGACTGGGGGGTCGGGAGGCAGAGCAGCCAGTTCTGCTGTCACCCCACTGGCCACAGGGCAGACCCTGAATCGGTTTTACTGCCATAAAGGCACCAGTGAGTCCATCTTCTTTGCAGTTTGCCAAATTCAGAGCCAGTGCCCAGGGGTGACCTACCTTGCAGTTTACCTTGGGCAACTTCCCTAGAAAGAAAAAAATAAAGGAGGAAGACTTAGTAGTGAGGCCAGCTAAGGAAACAGGAAGCCGGTTCTGCTTGACCTTCTCCTCCCTCCCTGCCTTCCTCATCACCTCCCTGTGGGGGGACTCACAGAAATACACAGGCACCAACAGGAGAGCCAACAGGAGGGCTGCCACGATGGGGATCACCACCAGGGTTCTCTTCCTATGCCTGATACCTGGAGAAACGGAGACTTCAGCGATGGCTCCCTCCCCCAGGCCCAAAGCCGCTGGACCTCCCCAGACTCTACAATCCTCCCAGGCCTGAGCTCATCCACGGACAGGCTTCGAGTAGGTGGCCCTGGTGAGCCGTGGCCAGCAGATGTCTTTAGTGTGACCAGCACATTTTTAAATTGTTAAACCTTTTCATTTGGGGGCGACTGCAGATTGAAAATCTAGACACCTGGTTTCTCTTAGAAATGTGGGAATCTAGCCCCATTGGACCAGCAGCCCCACCTGGCACTCACTGGCCAGAGCCGAGTGCCAGGCTCCCCACCGCTCCCACACTCCCCTCCCTCCCCACTCTGTGCCCCCGTGCTGAGGTGCTGAGGACTGCATCCTTTATGTCTGCACTGTTGCCTTTGTTATAGAAGAATGGAGGGGAAATAAACGTGTTTCTTGTACCTCAGTTTCCATTCCAAACGAGAAAACGAAAGGAAGACTAGGAGGCAGGGCAGGGACTAGGGCAGCGGTTCTCAACCTGTGGGTCACGACCCCTTTGGGGGTCGAACGACCCTTTCACAGGGGTCACCTAAGGCCATTGGAAAACACATATATAATTACATATTGTTTTTGTGATTAATCACTATGCTTTAATTATGTTCAATTTGTAACAATGAAATTGAGGATCATCGCAACATGAGGAACTGTATTAAAGGGTTGCAGCATTAGGAAGGTTGAGAGCCACCGGACTAGGGTAAGGCACACACCTTGGGACAAAATTTAAAGGGATACAAAAAAAACTCAGTAATCAAGGTAATATTTTCATGTCATGTTTTAAAAAATCATATCACCAAATTATGGCCCACAGATTGGCTGCCTGTTTTTTTTCATAAAGTTTCCAAAATTAGGCTCAAGCAAGTCAGGCAGGGTCATGCAGATGCAAGGTTGGACCATGGCATTAGTTAAAATTTTATAGTTTGCTCATTATGGATTTTTTTCCATTGACTTTTATTCTTTTTTAAATATTACATCAAGCTGTTGCTTATCTTCCCCTACCTGGTTGGGCTCAATGGATAGAGCATGGATCTGCAGACTGAAGAGTCCCAGGTTTGTTTCAGTCAAATACCTCAGTTGCAGGCTCAATCGTTGGCCTCAGTCCAGGTGTGTGCAGGGGGCAACCAATGATACGTCTCTCCCACATCGATGTTTCTCTCTGTGTCTCTCCCCCGCCCTTCTACTCTCTCTAAAAATCAATGGAAAAATACCCTTGAGTGAGGATTAACAAAAAAAAAAGATGTTATCTTGATTACTGCATTTTTCAGGCACCCCTTTAAATAGTGTGCCCAAGGTAAATGCTTCCCTCACCCAGCCCTGCCAAAAGGAAAATGAATGTTAAAAAAAAAAAAGCAAAGAGAGTGCGTTTTTCTCACCCCTGACCTTTTTCACTTATTAACATGACCTGCCTAGTCCCTGTAGTTATCTGAGTCTGTGATCTGTGCTGTAGGCCAACCTCCTCGTTCTAATATCAAAGCTGAGGCCCTGAGAGGAAACCGTGTCACACCATGCAGGTCCTCGAAGTGTGTGGGGGGCTGCAGAATACTTCGATGAAGCACTTCCAAAGTGCAAGAACCCATGCCAGGCATTTCCACCAACCCATTCAGGGAGGTGCTGTTATCATCCCATTTTACAGATGAAGAAACTGAGGCTCGAGAGGGGAGCTGACTTGCCCACCCCAACTCCAAACTGCTTCCTCCTCTCACTTCCCCTCCCACTCATTGTTTCTGTATGCCTCAGGCTCCACTTGTATTTCCCTACTTCCCTAGCCTGCTGCCAGGACCCATTCTCCAGGACTCACCACAGACAGCATCAGTCTTGTTAGTCCCTGCCCGTAGCTCCACCAGGCCTTTGATCTCACAGCTGTGTGGACACACATGTGCACACACATACAGAAAGAAAGAGAGGGAGAGAGGGAGAGAGAGAGAGCGAGAGAGAAAGAGAGAGAGAGAGAATATTTTAAAATATACAGAATAATTATATAAGCATTTATAAACATAGATTATAAGTGTAAAGAGCCAATCATTTGTAGATTATAACTTTTGAAAACAAATCCATCAACTCAGACTTCAAAAGCAAGGCTAAATAATGTATGTCATATAATGTATCATATGTTTTTTCTAAAAACATTACTGATTTTCCCCTAAAAATAGAAAATTAAAATAAATCATTAAAAAAAAAAAACTAGATTCACCGATACAGATACTAGGGCATTGGAAACTAAAGAGAAAATAAACAAATGGGACTACATCAAAATAAAAAGTTTCTGCACAGCAAAAGAAACCATCAACAAAACAACAAGAAAGCCCACTACATGGGAGAACATATTTGCCAATGTTATCTTCGATAAGGGTTTAATCTCCAAAATTCATAGGGAACTCATACAACTCAACAAAAGGAAGATAAACAACCCAATCAAAAAATGGGCAAAGGAGCTAAATAGACACTTTTTGGAAGAAGACATACAGAAGGCAAAGAGACAAAGGAAAACATGCTCAAAGCCACTAATCATCCAAGAGATGCAAATCACAACAACGAGGTGCCATCTCACACCTGTCAGAATGGCTATCATCAACAAATCAACAAACAA